AGGTTTTGGGGGTGCTGACCCCCCCGGCTCCCCCCAGAGATGCCCCCGGACACCGTCCGCAGCAAGATCCTGGTGGGGGTCGGGGGCTTCGTCTTGGGCTTGGTCTTCCTGGCGCTGGGGCTCGGCTTCTACCTGCGGGAGAAGGTAAAGGGGGGTCCCCAAAGGGGGGGCGTGGCCCCCCCTTGCTCTCCCAAGGCATAGGGCCCTAACATGCCAGAATCATAGCACCCTTTGGTAGACCACCTTTTATTCTTCCCCATCAGAGCTCCGCATGTCATTATCTGTAGCATCCGTGCACGCGCACGCAGACCTCCCCTGTTGGCCCTCGGGGACCCCACCCTGGAGAACTGAAACCCTGCGCTCATTTTGGGGGGGTCGCCTGGCCCCCCCTGCCCTGCATTTCTTCCCACACTAACCAGCTGTTCCCAGTGTTCCCAGTAAAGCTTCTCAGTGCTCTGCACTCCTGGGTGTTGGGGGCAGTTGGGGGGCTCTGAAAATCCTGGGAACAAGGGGGTTTCGTATTCCCAGACCCTGAAAATCCTGGGAATTGGAGCGTTTGGGCACTCTCTGACCCTGAAATATCACAAAAGAGGGATGTGGACACTCCTAGACTCCAGAAATCCTGGGAACAGGGGATTTGGGCAGTGTCAGCCTCCCAGTAATCCAGGAACAGGAGGGATTGGGCTCTCCCAGGACCACACAATCCAGGAAAAGTGGGTGTTATTTACTCCTAGACCCCTAAAATTGTCAGAACAGGTGGGTTGGGCACTCCCAGGCCTCCAAAATTATGGGAACATGGAGGTCAGGAACATTGAGACCACAAAAATCTTGGGAACACGGGGGTATAGGCTCTCCTAGAACTGAAAAGTCACAGGAATAAAGTTCTTGGGGCATTTCTAGACCTCAAAATATTGGAATAGAGGGCTTAGGACACTTCCAGATCTTAAAACTTCAAAGAATAGGGGGGGTTGGGCACTCCGAGCCCCCCAAAATCCTGGATAAAGGTGGTTTTGGCACATTCAGAGGTCTACAATCCTGAGAATAGGTGGTTTTGGGCAATGGCAGCCTCCCAGTAACCCAGGAACAGGGGGGTTTGATCTGTCCCAGGCCCAAAAACTCCTAGAAAAAGACAGGTTTAGGTACTCCCAGAACCCCATCACTGTGAGAACAGGGGGGTTTGGGCATTCCCAGGCCCCCAAAATTGTAAGAACAGGGGGTTTTGGGCACTCTCAGAACCACAAAATCCCGGGAACAGGGGGGTTATTGGGCACCCGCGGCCACCCAGAACCTCATTCCACCGCATCCAGATCACCTTAAATCCCATCTCCAGGAATCCGGGACCCCCCAAAACCCACCTCGGACCCCCCCCCAGCCCCGGGGCTGCCGCGGGGGCCCCCAAGGGCCCTCAGCCAATCGCGAAGCGCCCACGCCGCCCGCGCCCAATCCCAGCGCGCCGCGCTGATGACTCATCAGTCGCCGGGAAGACGAGGTTCGAACACTGCTCGAAACCGTCGCCGGCCTTTGCCCTCAGCCAATCCGAGCGCGCCCAAAAAGCCCCAAAAAGGACCCGCCCGGCTGGTTTGGGGCTGTCAGCAGCTGTCCGGCGCTGGGCATGGAGCGTGTGCGGGGAGCTGGGGCCGTGCTGGCGGTGCTGGTGGTGCTGGGAGCCCCCCCGGCTGCGGGCGAGGAGCTGTCGGGTGAGCGGGGGGTGGGAAAGGGGGGCAAGAGGGGAGAAAAGAGGGGGTGGGAGCCCCAAAAAAGGGAGTGGGAGGGGGGTGGGAAGGGGCGGAGTGAGTGGGAGGGGGGTGGGAGCCCCAAAGTGAGGTTGGGGGGGTGTGGGGATGGGGGGGACAGTCGGAAAGGGGTGGGAGAGGGGGGCAAGGGGGTGTGGGAGAGCAGGCAGAGGGGTGCCCTGGGGGTCCCTGGGTGTCCCTTGAGCCCCGGAGCGGTTCCCTGGGGCTGTGGGGGGGTGGGATCGGCATTGGGGGGGTCCCCAACCCCCCTGTCCATGCCCGGGGGGCTGATGGGGGGGTTCCTCCCAGGCAAGAGCCGGTGCTGGGGCGTCCGTGGGGCAGAGGGGGGTGGGAAAGGGGGTTCCGGGGTGGCCCCCTGAGCTGCCAGCCTGGTGTGGGGGGCTGGGGGATGATGGGGGGGGACGGGGCACCCCCTGACCCGTGTCCTGCACACACAGGGGTGTTCCAGCTGATGAAAAAGGCCGAGTGTCACTTCATCAACGGCACCGAGCGGGTGAAGTTCATGGAGAGGCGCTTCTACAACCGGGAGCAGCAAGTGCACTTCGACAGCGATGTGGGGGTCTATGTGGGGGACACCCAGTATGGGGAGATCCAGGCCAGGTACTGGAACAGCCGCCCAGAATTGCTGGAGTACAAACGAGGTCAGGTGGACACGTACTGCCGGCACAACTACGAGGTGGTCACCCCGTTCACTGTGAACCGCAGAGGTGAGCGTGGGGCAGAGCGGGTCCCCTCGGGCCCTGCCCCGGGAATGACCCTGGAGCCCCTCAAACCCTCCCTGGGAATCACCCCAGACCCCTCAGCCCTCCCTGGGCCCGTCCCCGTGCCCTTTGGTCTCTCCCAGTCCATCCCAGTCTCTCCCAGTCCTTCCAATCCCCCCTACTCTCTCCTAGTCCATTCCAGTTTTTCAGAGTCCATCCCAGTCCATCCCAGTCTCTCCCAGTGCCCCCCCCGCGTCTCCCCCCCCGCTGGGCCCACCGAGCTCCCGCCCCTCAGCCAATCGCAGCGCGTGTCTCTGATGACGCTCCAGTTGCCAGGCAGACCCGAACCAAACACTTCCCTCCCCACCACTCAGCCTCCCAGGCCCGAGCGCTTCCTTCCCAGTCCACACCAGTCACTCCCAGTCCACACCAGTCACTCCCAGTCCACACCAGTCACTCTCAGTCCACACCAGTCACTCCCAGTCCACACCAGTCACTCCCAGTCCACACCAGTCACTCCCAGTCCCTCTCCCTCCACTCCCAGACCCTCTCACTCCATTCCCAGTCGTTCCCACTTCACTCCCACATCTCCCAACTCTCTCCCCAGTGCCCCCCCAGCCCAGCCCCTTCTCCCCCACTCTATTCCCAGTCCCTCCCACTGCCATCCCAGTCCCTCCCAGTGCAATCTCAATCTTTACCAATGTCCTACAAGCCCTCTCCCCTCCCTCCCAGTGCCCCCCAGCTCAGCCCAGTGTCTCCCCCGTCCCTCCCAGTGCCCCCCAGCGTGTCCATCTCGCTGGTACCGTCGAGCTCCCAGCCCGGCCCCGGCCGCCTGCTCTGCTCCGTGATGGATTTCTACCCTGCGCCGGTGCAGGTGAGGTGGTTCCAGGATGGGCAGGAGCTGCCGGAGCACGTGGTGGCCACCGACGTGGTCCCCAACGGGGACTGGAGCTACCAGGTGCTGGTGCTGCTGGAAATCCCCCCCCGGCGCGGGGTCACCTACAGCTGCCAGGTGGAGCATGTCAGCCTGGAGCACCCCCTCAGCCGGCACTGGGGTACGGCCCGGCCCCCCCAGCACCGGGGGGGCGACCGGGAGGGAGTTTGGGGGGTGCTGGGGGTGCTGGGAGGGGGGTGGGAGGGTCCTGAAGGGGCCGGGAGGGATCCCTGGCGGGGCTGGGAAGGGACTGGCAGGAGGTTGGAGGGACCCCCGGGTGGGCTGGGGGAGAGCGGGCCGGGCTCTGTGGGGGGCCGGGGGGGGCGTGGGAGGAGGTTTTGGGGGTGCTGACCCCCCCCGCTCCCCCCAGAGATGCCCCCGGACACCGTCCGCAGCAAGATCCTGGTGGGGGTCGGGGGCTTCGTCTTGGGCTTGGTCTTCCTGGCGCTGGGGCTCGGCTTCTACCTGCGGGAGAAGGTAAAGGGGGGTCCCCAAAGGGGGGGCGTGGCCCCCCCCTTGCTCTCCCACGGCCTCTGGGCCCCCCCTGCCCCCCCAGCCCCTTTGCTCTCCCCCCCTTTTCTCTCCCCACAGAGCTCCTGAGCCACCGGCGGCCGCAGCCCCTCCCCGTGGCCTCGGGACCACCCTGGAGAACTGAAACCCTGCGCTCATTTTGGGGGGGTCGCCTGGCCCCCCCTGCCCTGCATTTCTTCCCACGCTAACCGGCTGTTCCCAGTGTTCCCAGTAAAGCTTCTCAGTGCTCTGCACTCCTGCGTGTTGGGGAGAAGTGGGGGGGATCTGAAAATCCTGTGAACCGGGGCGTTTGGGCACTGCCAGACATTAAAAATCCTTGAGAAAGGTGATTTGGGCACATCCAGAGGCAAAAATATTGGAAAAGAGGGGTTAGGCCACTCCCAGACCCTAAAACTCCTGGGAACAGGGGGGTTGGAGAATCCCAGAATCCCAAAATCCCGGGAACTGGGGGTTATTGGACACCCACGGCCACCAGAACCTCATTCCAACGTATCCAGGGCACCCCAAACCCCATCCCCAGGGATCCGCGAGCCCCCAAAACCCACCTTGGACCCCCCAAAGGCCTGGGCGGGGTCAGAAGCAGCAGCAGCCAATGGGAGCGAGCACAGTTGTTGCGTCATAAGTTGCCGGGTAGACGAGTCCAGAACTGAGCCCCGATCGGACTCAGCCAATCAGAGACCGCCCTGAGCTCGTTTTTTGGTCAACGGGGGCACTCCCAGAGCCAAAAAATCCTGGACGAAGGTGGGTTTGGACACATCCAGACCCTAAAAATTCTGGGAAGGGGGGTTTTGGTCATTCCCAGCCCCCCCCCCAAAAAGGGAACAGGGGGTTTGGGAATATTCAGACCCTAAAAATTTTGGGAACATGGGGGTGTGGGCTCTCCTAGATGCTTAAAATCTCGGGAACAGGGGGTTATTGGCACCCGCGGCCACCGAGACATCATCCAAGGATCCAGAATCACCTAAAAAAAAAAAAAATAAACCCCATCCCCAGGAACCGGGACCCCCCAAAACCCACCCTCGGACCCACCCCCACCCCGGGGCTGGCCGCGGGGCCCCCAAGGGCCCTCAGCCAATCGCGAAGCGCCCACGCCGCCCGCGCCCAATCCCAGCGCGCCGCGCTGATGACTCATCAGTCGCCGGGAAGACGAGGTTCGAACACTGCTCGAAACCGCCGCAGCACTTTGCCCTCAGCCAATCCGAGCGCGCCCAAAAAGCCCCAAAAAGGACCCGCCCGGCTGGTTTGGGGCTGTCAGCAGCTGTCCGGCGCTGGGCATGGAGCGTGTGCGGGGAGCTGGGGCCGTGCTGGCGGTGCTGGTGGTGCTGGGAGCCCCCCCGGCTGCGGGCGAGGAGCTGTCGGGTGAGCGGGGGGTGGGAAAGGGGGGCAAGAGGGGAGAAAAGAGGGGGTGGGAGCCCCAAAAAAGGGAGTGCGAGGGGGGTCGGAAGGCCCAGAGTGAGTGGGAGGGGGGTGGGAGCCCCAAAGTGAGGTTGGGGGGGTGTGGGGATGGGGGGGACAGTCGGAAAGGGGTGGGAGAGGGGGGCAAGGGGGTGTGGGAGAGCAGGCAGAGGGGTGCCCTGGGGGTCCCTGGGTGTCCCTTGAGCCCTGGAGCGGTTCCCTGGGGCTCTGGGGGGGTGGGATCGGCATTTGGGGGTCCCTGACCCCCCTGTCCATCCCCGGGGGGCTGATGGGGGGGTTCCCCCCCAGCCAAGAGCCGGTGCTGGGGCGTCCGTGGGGCAGAGGGGGGTGGGAAAGGGGGGTCGGGGGTGGCCCCCTGAGCTGCCAGTCTGGTGTGGGGGGGCTGGGGGATGATGGGGGGGACGGGGCACCCCCTGACCCGTGTCCTGCACACACAGGGGTCTTCCAGGAGTTTTCTACGAGCGAGTGTTACTTCATCAATGGCACCGAGCGGGTGAGGCTCGTGGAGAGGTACATCTACAACCGGGAGCAGCAAGTGCACTTCGACAGCGATGTGGGGGTGTTTGTGGGGGACACCCCGTTTGGGGAGATCCAGGCCAGGTACGCAAACAGCAACCCAGAATTCATGGAGCGCAAACGGGCTGAGGTGGACACGTTCTGCCGGCACAACTACGAGATCTCCACCCCGTTCATTGTGAACCGCAGAGGTGAGCGTGGGGCAGAGCGGGTCCCCTCGGGCCCTGCCCCGGGAATGACCCTGGAGCCCCTCAAACCCTCCCTGGGAATCACCCCACACCCCTCAGCCCTCCCTGTGCCCATCCCCTTCCCTTTTGCTCCCTCCCAGTTCCTCCCAGTCCATCCCAGTCTCTCCCAGTCCGTCCAATCCCCCCTACTCTCTCCCAGTCCATTCCAGTTTTTCAGAGTCCATCCCAGTCCATCCCAGTCTCTCCCAGTGCCCCCCCCGCGTCTCCCCCCCGCTGCGGCCCCCGAGCTCCCGCCCCTCAGCCAATCCCAGCGCGTCTCTCTGATGACGCTCCAGTTGCCAGGCAGACCCGAACCAAACACTTCCCTCCCCACCACTCAGCCTCCCAGGCCCGAGCGCTTCCTTCCCAGTCCACACCAGTCACTCCCAGTCCACACCACTCACTCCCAGTCCACACCAGTCACTCCCAGTCCCTCTCACTCCACTCCCAGACCCTCTCACTCCATTCCCAGCCGTTCTCACTTCACTCCCACATCTCCCAACTCTCTCCCCAGTGCCCCCCCAGCCCAGCCCCTTCTCCCCCACTCTCTTCCCACTCCCTCCCACTGCCATCCCAGTCCCTCCCAACGCCCTCCAAGCCCTCTGCCCTTCCTCCCAGTGCCCCCCAGCTCAGCCCAGTGTCTCCCCCGTCCCTCCCAGTGCCCCCCAGCGTGTCCATCTCGCTGGTGCCGTCGAGCTCCCAGCCCGGCCCCGGCCGCCTGCTCTGCTCCGTGATGGATTTCTACCCTGCGCCGGTGCAGGTGAGGTGGTTCCAGGATGGGCAGGAGCTGCCGGAGCACGTGGTGGCCACCGACGTGGTCCCCAACGGGGACTGGACCTACCAGGTGCTGGTGCTGCTGGAAATCCCCCCCCAGCGCGGGGTCACCTACAGCTGCCAGGTGGAGCACGTCAGCCTGGAGCACCCCCTCAGCCGGCACTGGGGTACGGCCCGGCCCCCCCAGCCCCGGGGGGGCGACTGGGAGGGAGTTTGGGGGGTGCTGGGGGTGCTGGGAGGGGGGTGGGAGGGTCCTGAAGGGGCCGGGTGGGATCCCTGGCGGGGCTGGGAAGGGACTGGCAGGAGGTTGGAGGGACCCCCGGGTGGGCTGGGGGAGAGCGGGCCGGGCTCTGTGGGGTGCCGGGGGGGTGCGTGGGAGGAGGTTTTGGGGGTGCTGACCCCCCCGGCTCCCCCCAGAGATGCCCCCGGACACCGTCCGCAGCAAGATCCTGGTGGGGGTCGGGGGCTTCGTCTTGGGCTTGGTCTTCCTGGCGCTGGGGCTCGGCTTCTACCTGCGGGAGAAGGTAAAAAGGGGTCCCCAAAGGGGGGGCGTGGTCCCCCCCTTGCTCTCCCACAGCCCCTGGGCCCCCCTGCCCCCCCAGTCTCTTTGCTCTCACCCCCTTTTCTCTCCCCACAGAGCTCCTGAGCCACCGGCGGCCGCAGCCCCTCCCCGTGGCCTCGGGCCCAGCCGGGACCCCCCAAACCCTGCGCTCATTTGGGGGGGTCGCCTGTCCCCCCCTTCCCTGCATTTCTTTCCACACTAACCAGCTGTTCCCAGTGTTCCCAGTAAAGCTTCTCAGTGCTCTGCAGTCCTGCTCATTGGAGAGAAGGGGCTCGGGGTGACTTGGGGGGAAACCGCGGGAGGAGCAGAGTTTGAGGGGGGCAGAACCGGCCCCAGGATGGACCAGGAGTGGGGGGGGTTTGAGGGGGCATCTGCACCCCAACAGGGCACCCAACGCACCCCAGGAGGTGCCAGGACCCACCTAAACCCCGTAACAGAGGTGCTGGGAATCCCAAATTCAGTGGGAGGGGAGTGGGACCCCCCAAAAGTGGACGGGGGCGAGATGGGACTGAGGAGTGGGGAATGATTGGAAAGGGGTGGGAGAGGTCAGAAAAGTGGGGAAAAGGAGGGGATGGGACATCAACCCGTCCCCAGCTCCCCGCACACGCTCCATGCCCAGCGCCGGACAGCTGCTGACAGCCCCAAACCAGCCGGGCGGCGCCGTTTTGGGGGGTTTGGGGCGCGCTGGGCTTGGCTGAGGGCGCAGTTGGGGCCCTTTTTTCGAGGCGTCTTCCCGGCGACTGATGAGTCATCAGCGCGGCGCGCTGGGATTGGGCGCGGGCGGCGTGGGCGCTTTGGGATTGGCTGAGGGCCGTTGGGGGCCCCCGCGGCAGCCCCGGGGCTGGGGGGGGTCCGAGGTGGGTTTTGGGGGGTCCCGGATTCCTGGAGATGGGATTTAAGGTGATGTGGATGAGTTGGAATGATGTTCTGGGTGGCCGCGGGTGCCCAATAACCTCTCTTTTTCCCGGGATTTTGGAGTTCTGGGGGTGCCCCAACCCCCCTGTTC